TCTCTTCTGTCTACTCCGCCTACCTAATTTTCTGTCCTATGAGGGCCGAGGCAGTTTTTTTATTATTAACCAATGAAATCAACAGATAAGATACAAGACCCACCTCCATCAGACATGTAGGCTATTTGGGAAAATACCATTCCCCCCAAACCTGCCACATGAATTTGTTTTGTCCATGTAAAAATAATCGTGATAATTTAATAAATGTTTTAAGAATACATATGGGAGGATAAAATTACATTTAGAAAAAAATATCAAGGCTATGATAATTTAGAGATTCAAGATGGCAGATTATGCAAAGCAAAGGAAGCTGGAGAGGGGATAGGCAAAAAGAACAAAGATGGGTGTATTATCAGAGTTTTATTAACCAGCCTCGACTGTGTATTCTCACACTGCCTGGCTCCATGGCTTTCCTAGCTGTTAACACACTGCTAATCTCTTTGAGGAGCCATTTGAAAGAAGCTAATTAACTACATCTTGTTTTGGTTATTAGCTCTCACAGTCAAAAAGAAAGATTTTTCTTTTTGCCCTCAAGATGATTGAGGAAGACAAATTAAAAATGCAGTTAGTTCCCTTTTCACAGATAAAGACTAAAAGGCTGTCAAAGATTCAAAGATACTTAATGAGTCAAATACCTGCTCTGATTATTTTACTTTACAACTCAATTCCAAAGATATTAGCTTTTGTTCTTTTTTTTTCTTTAAATGCAGATACACAGCCCATTTGAAGAATACAAGGTCAGTTGTGTAGAGTAAGAATATGTAATACCAAGCAGTTTTTGAGTTTTAAAGCATTGTATGTTTGTTTTGTGATAATTTTGTTTGTTTCTTCAGAATGCAGACTCATGAAAATGGTGACAAAGTCAAGTTTATAATGTGGACTTTCTATTCAAGCAGTTACTAAGAGGGCCTCCTTTGTGACTGGTGGTTTTCATTTGAAAGGCCAGACTGATGGAAATAGGACTTGAATGAGTCACTGGCATTTTCATTAAGTAACATTTTATGTAGTTGTAACTATGCTTTTATAAGATT